GCCTCCCCGCCGAGAGTTCTCCGGGGACCGCCCTTTGTGACGCGAATTCTGGCTGGGGGGGCAGTATTCGTCCCCAGAGTTTCGGCCACGTTCGCTGGACAGCCTATGGGCCGAAACATCCTCATGTCCTGGCAGCGAGGCCGACAATGGGCGTACAGCCAGTCTGCAAGGATTCGGGAGTGTCGTTCTTCTTGGCCACGCTTTGATCCAGCTTTGGGATCTATTCCGATCCGATGCTCACTCTGCTCCCATTATCGGATGGGCCTTCCCATTTGCGTCGTAGCGTTGCTTCCATCCGCACTTCGTGCTCTCACCGCGTCTATAGCAGATCCGCGGGGTCGCTGGGTTCGCACGGCCTCTGGTCGGTTCCTCTGAAAGGGCACGTCAGCCCCACATCCTCGGGTCTGTCAGGCTATCCATGGTCTCCCGGAGTGGGCACGACAGGCTCAAATGTCTGGAGGCTTTGGCAAGATTTGGCTCGGGCGTGGCATGCGATGCCATCCGCGGTAACTCGGGGCGGGCGCGTCAGGCCAAAATCCCCGGAAACCTGCAGGGGTGCACTGGTAAGCTGCCCAGCTAACCAGTGTTCTGACAGGTTTGGCTTGGGTCTGCCACGCAATCCATGGACTCATACAGCTGTCGCTAGAGTCGTCGCAGCGCCATTTTTGTCCTCCTTTCGTCTTGCCTCCACCGTGGCTTAGTTGTGATGTGTTTGGTCCCCTCGATCAGGGGTACTTGATCACTGGATGTCTGTCCACCCGGTTTCCACATCAGACTTTGACTTCTTTGCCATTACTTTGCCCTCGTAATCGAATATGGTTCAAGAGCGCCCATTGAAATCTATGTGTGTGCACATCATTTTTGTCGAAAACCCTTCGTTGCGCATCAGACGTTAACTTCCGTGTGGATTGCCATACAAGGAGCGCCGCCCTCCCACACCAGCACTCCCCCCACCGTCTCCGCGACACTTGGAACGTGCTTTTGGGCTTCCCCGCAAGTCGCCTCGGAGGCGGAACTGCGCACCACTCCAGCGCACTTGCGTGTAGAATGGGTGCGCCTCCACGCAATTCCCTGCTATGTGGTGCAGTCTATCGCGTCCCGGCCGCGTGGCCGGTAGACTGCCCTCGTACGCGAATCCTGCTCTTGAGTGCTCATTGGAATTTTGGTCGGCGAATCGGTTTACTCT